AATTTCCTTTTGAGCCACCAGCTCACCTCGTGTTCTTCGCCCTCGAGGTACCCGACCCAGATATATTTGACACTGTGATCTGTTTCAATAGTGCCTCTTCGTCATCGGAGCTGATCACAATCTCCTCCCAAGCCTTCAGCTGTTCATAGGATCGCATCCACTCCCTTTGCTCTTGCAATCTCTTCGCTTGATTCGGTAAGCTCGTCACCTTCGACTCCCGGTTCAAACAGAAGGAATTGTGAAGACTCAGGCTTACATTCTTCGCCAGGTCCTCCTCTAGTATCGACTCCCTCGCTCTAGTGTTGTTTCTGGATACTCTACCCACTCTTTTCCACCCCGTCGTGATCGCATTTCGATGGGTCAGCAGAGGTCTCTTGAAGGCATCTGGTCCTATCTCGGCCTGGAACTGTCGATATTCTTTTTGATGTTTCCTCATGTGATCCTTCGTCACCACGTATAACCAGGACGTTAACGTCGCGCGAAACCAAGGAAAGAATCTCAAGCGGCTCCACATGTGTCTGACTTTCATTGGTATGGCAAATACCTTGCATGCGGTCTCGAACAACTCAAGTCTCCTGCCGTAATCTATCGCGTGAATCGACTCTGCCGTTGGCGTCTTCGATTCCCGATACTTTGCTATATTTTCTTCCATCCATCGTAGAGCCAGCATCGTGCTCACCACCAAGATGGTCACCTTTTGCTGATGATCGGGCAGTCCCAACGACCTGATTTCTTCCACATCCCAGATCAGGCAGAGATTGGCGTGGTCTGGGTACCACACTGTCTGCGCCAGACAGTGGCATGGACAATCCCCGTGTGTGAGGTCGATGCTCCTAAGATTGCGTTCCCCCGAGGCTTATAGGAGAGGCTCAAGTTCCATCATCTTCTCGTGTATCACGTCGATCTCTTCGAAGTTTGGAGCACCAACCATGGGTTTCCCGATCACGTTTTGTCTCTCGTGGTCACTTGTATTTTCGCTCTCCAAACCTAGAAGTTCTTCACCCCAGATTTCACTCAAGTCGTCCCTTTGTTCTTTCGGTACTGTTCCTCGGATCTTCCTCAACAGCTTGTGTGAATGATGTGACATCCGAGCCAGTCTTACACATTTGGGCACATCAATACCCTCTGGCTGGACACTTCTACCATCGCCATGTGTAATGGATAGTGGCTGCCACATAGGTTGGCCATCACTGACCCCACTAGGGACTTCGCATTTAGAGGCAGACCATAGGCTTCGCTCATGGGAAATCCCATCTCCGCTTCGAGTCCAACCTTCCAACTCTTGATGTGTTTCTGGGTCACTTGCAACACTCCGGGCCATGAGTGTTGCACTCCGGGCGTGACTCCGGGCGTGACTCCACGCTCAACGCTCCGGGCGTGACTCCACGCTCAACGCGGTCACCAAGTGATGTTCTGACTCTAGCCTCTCCAGTGACTGGAGACTGCACATTCTTGAGAAGAATCCCAGAGCTGTTGCTAGGTTCACCGTGGTACTCGCGTAACACTCAGCCACTATCTGTATCTCACTTTTCTCCCTTTCGGTAATGTCTTCAAACCAGGTGATTAGGTCTTCTTTCTGGAAGGACTGTATCCTGACGCATGATCGTCCATCGCAGGTGTGCTCGCCATTCCCACACGTCGAGTCAAGACAACTACCCGGCTCCATTTTCTTTACCGACCCTGTTCTACTCGTCACCTCACTTGACTCCTTCACCTGAGGCAGGATCAGTCTATGTACTATACTTAAGGTCGCCAAATCTTCATCCTCTGTCGGCGCTAGTCTCACTCGCTCCGTGACTTCCTCGATCAGGCTCGCATGGGGATGTGGACACCAGGAGGGCCTGAGCCATTTCCACACCACTCCCAGATTCGTGGTCAACGTGCCGTTCCCGTTACCCATTTTTAGTTCGACTCTTTTACTTGAGCGCGGCACACTTATTACTTCCGGTGTCTTCTCGAGAATCAAACCTAGGCTAGGTCTCTCTCTCTCCACAGTGTCTATCTCCATTATCTTCTCTGTCCAGAACTTCAGCAGCTCCGCCACCTCGTAGGTTCTGTGGGCACCTCCAGCGTCCAAGTCCAAGAAAGGGTTGGATGCCATCCCCATCACTCCAGACACATACTGGTACTCTCCCTTTTTGTTGGGTTTCAAGTGCTCTCCTGGCGAAGCCAAGTTACGGTGTACATCGTGTTTCTCCTCGAACTTCTTGTTATAGAATCTCCGTATCTCATCTAACTTCCTGTGGCTCTCTAGAGACTGCCTAGAACCATCCTCCTTTTCTATCCCAGTACTCTGGTACACGTTCAAGATGACTGCGGAGACTCTCTTTTCCAGCGTCTTGCTTCCGATTGCTCTCTGGTGGCATGCTAGGATGGTACTATCAGTCATCATCGACATTATCCACCTCAAGAAACAGGTAGCATCTTTCCTCCTTGCCAGACTCAAGCCTGAGTTATCCCTAGCAACGTGTTGCGTCAATACTCGATACACCTCTAGATCCTGCCTCCCAATTTCAACTTGTCGTACGAAGTCAGTGTCTCTAACTCTATTCCCAACAGGCTCCAAGCAACATCAGTTGTCCTGCGGTTCTAATGAAGGGATTCGCCATCAAGGATGTTCTCATCGCTTCTTCAAAATGATCCCTCAACAAGTTCTGCCATGTTCTCTTCAGTTGGCTCCCCCATTCCAATTTGTTGATGTCAGCCTTCTGCTGGGTAGACCAGTTGCGCCGTTTGCGTGACACTCCACTGTCGAGCTTCTTTAGGCAGTCTTCCAATTCCTGCAATGTTTCCAGGGCCACCCACCACGGTCGGGAGGTGTTCCTCGTTTTATTGTTCTCAAGAGGATCGCTTGTCACTTGCTTCCCAGTAGCCTGGTGTTCATTTGAGACCCATCCTTTGCCGACGTCCACTTCCCAGGTCTGCCCGCTCGTCGAACCTCGCTTCATTTTTATCCTCTGAGGCTTGAAGTCTTCTTCCGTTGTTGAGCTGGTGGGGATCTCCATCTCTCTTTCTACGTCGAGCAGTTTCCTTGGCTCGTAGCTACTCTTGTAGGCTGCTGTCTTCCATCGTGCCAGAACCATGGGGGCCGTCTCTCTCAAGTTTTTCTCCGAGACCGCATCCGCTGAAGGACTGCCCAATCCCTCCACCTTTTTCTTCCTCTTGCGAGACCTCACGTCTTTACTCGGGGGCGTTGTCGTTATCATCACTGATTCGACTTCCTTGTCTCCATCCAACCCTTCCAACTCTTGCCTCCCCCCTGCTCGAGCCTTAAGGATATTAGTACTTTTAATTATATTACTAGTTCCGACCTTATCCCCCTTACATGTTCAATTATTTTATTGTCAGTTTTTTGTTTCAGAGTAGAGCTGTCTTTACATTTGTCTTCCTTGGTCTTCCGTGATACCTTCCTCAACTCGATCATCTTGCTCAGCAGCTCTCCTCTAGCTTTCTCCTCCAGACCTGTCCCCATCAGGACAGGCTCTCTGAATTTCACCACCGTGTCCCACAGCTCCTCCTTGAAATCGTCCAATGTGGTCTCGTCGTCCACTTCTCGATTAAAATCGCTCAAGAATTTTCGCCAAGCATCCTCATCCAGAGTGCCTAGGAAGGCATCCCTGTTTCCCTCGAAGGTGTTCTTCTCCCTTCTTTCCGCACTCAGGAAAATCATTCCCATGTTCGGATTCTCGCTCGTCAGTGGTAACTCTAGATTCTTGCGGGGAGATGAAGTCAGAGCTGGCGTGGGGGTGTCTGCCCAATTTTCTCCACTCAGATCCTTCAACAGTTCTTGCGTGGTGAACTCTTCCTCCGATGGTTTCTGTTCCGGTGTGTTTCCCACTTCCATATCCTCTCCTGCCTCGCTGAGAGTCTCGTCCATGCTCTCTTCTCCCAATTCTGCTTCTCTTCTCTCAAGAATCCTCCTGAATCGATCTTCTACGGGACCGCTCCTTTTATCCCAAGGGGTGCCCACTGATAGGGGTGATGGTGTCGCTGGACCCGTTTTCTTATACTCTGTCAGAGCCACATACAATGGGCTTGCTGCATCCAGCTCCTTCCCCTCCTGTCTCATCTCCACTTGCTCCAGTTCGTAAGGTGCCCGGTATCTTCTTGTGGCAAACACCATCTCGTCTCCTTTCAGTGCGATGTGTCATTCATTCACGATCATCCTGCCATCGTCCCACACCGGCAACTTGTTCTCCAGACCTGCCCACTCAAGTGTTCTCAAGGCATCTCGCACCTCGAATTTCGGGGGCATCGAGCCTCTCATTTTCTTGGCTTGAGTTGTCCATGAATTTATTTTTGCATCGCTGGTATGAAAATAAATTGCTGCAGTGTAGCCGATGAAGAGGGGATCCCAGCCGTCGATGAACTCCCTCTGTTGTTCGTCGGTTGCTGCTCTCGCGAACAGGGACGGGACCACCAGGGAGCTGTTCATCCGCAGCGTCATTCTCCTCACTGTTGGAAACTCTGGAATGCTTGCTGGTAGGACTTCCTTCTCCAATATCGCCTCTAGCTCCCTTTTCACCAGCTCGAAGCTTTTCTTCCATGCGGGAATTCTCAAGATCTCTTGTCCATTTGCTGTCAGGGGATTTAGATTCCAGAACTTGGGATAGGTTTCGATGGGGCCTTCGCTTTTACCTCCCATCCTGCACTGCGGTTGTCCTCGGAAACTGTATATCACCAACTCCGGATCCTTCACCTTTCTGAAGAGCACCGTGTTGCTCATTTGTGCCCTTAGCACCTCCTGCTGACACCAATTGAGTGTCGTCCCATCTAGTATGCTTATGAGGCTCAAGTGGGTCACTGAGTATCGATAAGCTGTCACCAGAGAATCTGGAAACGCGTACGTGACGGCCGGTCCATAAATGCAGGTTACGATCTCCTCTAGCCCCCGGATCATCCCCATGGGGTCCGATCTCATTGCCAGGCATAAGTCCGTCAACAGAGGCATGCCCCCATTCACTTTTTTCCACTCATCTCGTGTATTCGGGCTCTTTTCTTCACCAGTCAGGTGCCGGTTTTGCATCAGTAGGTACTGCACTAGCAGCGTCTTTAGTCCGGCAGCACACTTATACGAATAGGTGTCAATACTCGAGTGTGTTCTTCCCATCGACAGAGGCTCTCCGTATTTCATTACTCGGTGAAATGACACCAGTTCCCCATGGGTTAGAAGCACCAATGCCAAGTACCCGTCAATCTGGAGTGTGTCCACGCCCCGACTGAACATGTACGCTGGGCCCATATTGAACAAGTACCTTGGATAAACCAGGTACAGTGCCAACAACAGACTGATGGGCATGTTCAAGATTTCCTGTATGAAGGCTCCAAAGATGGTCTCTTTCGCGCTGTACACTCCAGCCATGAACTCCTTTCCCCAACAAGGACTCAAGAACTCAAGAATCTCGTGATCCCTCCACGTCCTCAGTTCACCCTTTGCGTGCTCCCTCCAGAATCCTCCAATCGTGACTTCGTTGGCTGCTGTGACGATTCTGGCCACCGTCATTTCCCTCTTCTCGACCACTTCCAGCTGCTCCTCAAGAAAATCCCAGATTTGCTTCACCAGAGGTGGGGCATCTTCTCTTGTCTGCTCCGTGGCGTTCTCCAGCCTTGGTGTCAGGAAGGGCCATCTGCCTCTCTCTTGTGTCAGTCGATACACCATCGACTCCAGCTGCTTCTCCGCTGCGGCCACGTTTTTCCTTTCATTGCTCGGCCCTCTAGATTTACTGGTGGAGCTTGTGATGGTCAACTCCATACTTCGAAACCACAGACTGGCCGTCAGGTGAGTCACCACTGGATGATCATCCCCTATAACCGGACTGAGCTTGAGTTGCCTAGCGAAGTTGGATATCTCTAGCAAGAGGACCTCGTCCAATACAATGAGGATGTCAGCCAACTCGTAGAAGCCCCTCAACGCGTGGGACACATCCGCCCACGCCGCCGCCAGTTCTGATCTGCGAAGTCTCAAGTTCGTTGGTTCCAGCTCCCGATTGGGAGCTGCCATCAGAATACGCCACCAATTCTCTTCTGCTATCAAGATCAAGATCGCATATACAAATTGCAGAGCGGGAGGCATGCTCGCGTACCCGGGGGACGTCGTGAACGCTACTTTTGTCTTGGAGCCAAATCGTGAGGCAACGTTCTCTTGTACTTCATTCATGGCTGCAAATAACGTCTGGATGGCTTCCCAGATCTTCTTCGGTGCCGGTTCATCACCCTTGAGCTGCTCAAGAAACCCTGTCACATGCAAGTGATCGTTCTTGAGAGGTCTATAGTTGATAGGTCCCATGACCGATTTCGTGGGAATCCCAGTCAGATCCGCTGTCTCCATCATTTTCGCATTTGAGAAATGCGTCTCGTGAGCGTTCAGCCAGTCCACGCACTGGTGTCTACCCAAGTCTTCGTGCGACACCCGCTCAAGACTCAAAGCTTCCGCCAACTCTAGCCTGCACTCCAGATCTTCCAAGTCCAGCTCCTTCACCTTCTCCACATATCTCGACCTACTGGTCTCCGCTGACCTCTCCGGTTTCTTCTTCTCCGCCACCACCACCGAGGATATTATCGATCCCTGAGGAGTTGATGACGTTGCCTCCTCGGCCTCCATGGGTGCGGCGCCCGGCAACTTGGTCCGGCAGTTCCTCGAACTGTCTCTAGAATCGGCCATCGCTCCCAAGCGACTGGACAACGCCCTCGGGTTGAAGAAGGGTGGATTTGGAGGTGGTCCGAACGTGACTTGGGCCGTCTCTAGCAACTCTGCCTCCAATGCGCTAATGTGCCTTTGGAAGACGTCATTTAACCATTCCACCCCTCTGGACCTGTCAAAGTGAATCCTATCCGAGGATGCATTGTCAGGGAAAGCAGATAGCTCCATTTGCTCGGCCACGTCCAACAGTCCAACGGGGAGGACGCTCCTTTGGTGTATCTGCCTGATTATTTCGTTCAGGTTTCGCACTTTTGTATTCATCTCCATTGCATGTTGGTCTGCTTTCATGTTGTAAGGAATGGTGCACTCCGTAAGAATGGCCGGATCCATTTGAATCCGCAATTCCTCAAGAATGCAGCTCATCTTGTCGTGCAGCCTCGTCACCTTGCTTCCCCCCTAGACACGTCATTCGTCCCGACCATCAGAGTCACCGTGTATACTCTTGCCCACCCTAGCATCTCAAGTGTTGCTAACATCTGCGGCGTCGCAGCTCCAGCGAAGCTCAAGATCCCCGTTTGCCAATGGGACTGAATCCGGGTCAGCACCCGCAACAAGCTGTCCCCTATGATCAGGTGGACCGCCCCGTCAGGCACACGTGGCTGCGTGAGGTATTCCACCCAAGCCGCGTCATGGAAGCAGTCTCTACTGTCTCTCTGCGCCGTGCTCCATTCCATCCGATTGTGCCTGTGGTATCTGCCTTCCGTGTTCTTCTTGTAACTTGAGATCACCACACTCCTGACAGGTTGCTCCCTCCACGTCGAGGGTAGCTCCACTCTTGCTGGACTCTCACGACTCCTTAGCTGTAGCCGCTCGTGCAACTCTTTCAGTCGTGACGAGCTACCACTCACCTGACTACTACTCGGGGTTGAACTTGGTGTATATCCAGGCAAGCGACGTCCATCAACGGGCGTATTACTTGTGTCTCTAGACCACGCAGGGAGGATGCTGACTCAGTTGGTATCCACACCTCCAACAACCTCATAACCACCCGCTCTTTGGGCCTAGCCCTTTTCTGCATGTCAAGCTCGCGTTGTCGTTGCTGGATCCTTTCAAGCTCCGACTTCAGCTGCTCACAATTCGCGGCATTCTCTCGTACTCTTTCTGCCTGTAGATGTTCAGCTCTCAACATATCCAGTTCCCTCCGCGCTTGGTCCTTTTCGACGACCGCTTGATCCCTCTCAAGTTTCGCCTTGTTCCTCTCCCGCTGAGTCCTCTCAAGCTCTCTCTTCATGATACTGAGGTCTGGATACGCTTCCCCCGTTTGTTGCGCCCGTGTCATCGATGGTGTCTTACTCTTGCTCTGGCCCGTGGATCGTGACTGATGGTCTGATCGGCAGTGGGAACTCCCCTGCACCATACTCAGTATTGTTACTCAAGCCAGGGTTCCTTGCCAAGTCGAACCCCCTCATTGCTCCATACACGTTCCAGGACAGCCACCTGGTTTGCTCTTGGTTGGATATTCCATCGGTGGTGTAGCCTACCATCAAAACCGCTTCTGTCGCAGACTCTCGGCACTCGCCCTGTTCCTCCAACTGGAGGATGGCATTCAGCATCACTGCCATTCTCTCATCCACTTGAGTGAAATCCAGGTCCCTCAGGCGTCTGTACTACTCATCAAGTGTGGGTTTTCTCAAAGCTGATGGCATGGACTTCCAGAATCGATCTGTCATTTCTGTAACTTCCAGGTGATCTTGAGTTTTAGCAACTTGAGTTTTACCTGAGCAACTTGAGTTTTACCTGAGCAACTTGAGTTTTACCTGAGCAACTTGAGTTTTATTTCTTGAAGCGCCGTTCAATTTGCGTTTCCGTTTAAGGACTTCCTTTCTTCAATTGAATACAGTTGGGTAGTCAATTTGACTTAACCAAACCAATCTGAAAATAACACCCGATTTTTAGACTAACAGGCTGTGTTCCTAACCTAAAAACCCCCTTCACTACTATAGTTAAAACCCTTTCCTTTTCGTCCTACTAAAATAGTTCAATTGGAAATTTTCTAAAAACATGCAGATTCGTTTTATGTTTTAGTACCATCAATCATTTAAATTTTTAATTGTCATGCCAATCACCTCTAAGATTCTTTACCTGTTTTGTACCCCCACACCTAACTCGAGATTCTCCCCTCATGCCCAACTCGAGACCCCGTGTAACCGACTCAGGCGATGCTCAAGTAGTATTTCTTATGAAGATGCACCATTATCTCAGTTTCTGCGAAGACCACGTGTAGGATAGCGTACAATTCCCTTGGGCTCAATTTGCCCCTCTTTGGGTCATACACCGGCATTGAGACCTCCGTTATCCCTCTTTCAATCATGAAGTCTCGTAGTCTTGTTAGTGCCAACATCACGTGTTCGGGATCGATCGTGTTCCTGTCATTACTAGGAAGCACAGGTATTTGCCCGGGACTTGTGCTACTGATGGTGGAAATGCGGCCATTCCTCCCAGTCCCGGTCTCTGTCTAAACAGAAACTCCACGTTCTGGTACTCTCTCTTGAAGTCAGCCTAGAGTCTTGATTTGAAACTCATGTCCGCCGTGATACAGATTGCTCTAGTCCTGTCTGACAGAATGAAGTCACTATCCGTTATCAGGATATTTTCTGAGTATTCGTTTGGTATTTTAAACTTCGTTTTGAAATTCCGTCCTATGGTAGGCTCGGCCTCCTCCCCTTCCAGTTCCAGTCCGCACGTTTCTCTCACTTCTATGAGTTTCTTTATCATTAAATTTTTGGTGTGGGTAAGTCCTACCCCCACTCCCTGGACAAAAATATTTATCGACGTCCCCGTCGTTGATGCTGGGTTTGAATTATCTGGCGGAATATCGAGCGGGCTGTCTGCTGCCGTCCAGCCGAAAAGAGGATTCTCCGTTTTCATGTACTTCCCCGCTGATATGTCAACTTGCTGTATGCTCTGTCCTTCCTCGATTCCGTTCTTGACATCGCGCATCCATTCTAATATCATCAGGTTCGTATTCTCCCTCCTCTCTATCTCGCTCTGTTCTAAATCCGTCTCCCGCTCCGGTGTCGAATAGTCTTCCTGTGGGTAGTGTTCATTATCATCGATGATCTGCCATTCACCATCTGCCGCCAGCTCGCCCACACTTATTAGTTCTTTGCCTAGGTCATCGGGCTGTATCTTGTCGATCAGGAAATTGTCCCCATACCTGTTGTACCTTATGCCTGTGCGTTTGCGATTGCCACTCCTTGTCCCCGCTGGTATTGACAAGTCTGGTTCTGTCCACTTCGGCACCTCACCTTGCTCCGGATCGTTCCAGTCCTCTTCCACAAAAGATTCCGCTTCAGAGTCCGCGTCTATTTTTTCATTGTCATCCAAACACAAGTTCTCGTTGCCATCATTCTTATCTCTGGTGCCTTTTTCGTTCACTTCACATGCTGGTTCCACCAGTAGGTACTCTATTCCCTCCATGTCCTTTCGTATACACCAGTCCTCTGGGGATGGGACATGAGGCTTCAGGTTCTCATAATGTGCTGCTCGCCCAGTACTCAAGCGATAGAACCGTCCTTGTTGATGTACTTCCGTTATCATGAATGGTCCTCTCCATTTCTTGAGTAGTTTCTTCGTCCCTTTAGGCGGTATAACATTCTGGAAAACCCACACGTACTGGCCCACTTCATATGGCTTTGCCTGTAATATCCTTTCATCATATTTCTTGCGCTGTCTCATTTGTGCTTGCGCAGTGTTCCTCCTGCATAGCTCGTTTATTTCCTGCTGTCTCCTGATCGCTTCTTTCACGTAAGCTTGAGGCGACGTCCTCTTCCCTTCATATTCCGGGTAAAAGAATGTCAGGGGCATCGCTCTCTCTTTGCCTGTCAACATCATGAAAGGACTGATGCCCATTGTTGAGTGTTGAGTGCTGTTGTATGCCAACACTTGCGGCAGATATTTATCCCAGTCCGTCATGTATCTTGAGCAGTATACCCTCAGCATGTTCACCAACGTTCTATTCTGTCTCTCTACCAGCCCGTTGGTCTGAGGATGGTAAGTCGTTGAGTGTGCTTGAGCAATGTGTGACCTCTTCATTAATTCCTTAGTCAAGTCCCCCACAAAGGCCTTGCCGTTGTCTGACTGAAAAGTCATTGGACAACCATACCTTGACATCCAATGGGTTATCAAGTGGTCACAAGTCTCCTCTGCCGAAGCTGTTTGAAACGGCACCGCTTCTGCCAGCTTTGTGAAGTGATCAATTATAACCAGTATCTGGTTATACCCCGACTCCGTCATGCAGATCTTCTGATGGTCTATCTGCACCACTTCATTAAATTCCGAGCTTTCCACTGATTTGAGCGGGAGTTTCATCTTCCTTGGGTCTTTCACTTGCAGGCATGCCAGGCATGCATTCACCCACCTCTCACAGGCTTTCCTCAATCCTGGCCAATCGAACCTGTGAAGTAATCTTTGTTGCACCTTGTCTATCCCCTGGTGCCCCATTTGGTCATGCGATCTGAACAGCACCTCTGTCTGATACAATTGTGGTAATGTGATGAGGTTGTGCTTGTGTAGTATCTTCTCCTCGTCTTTTCTCTTGCATGCTACCACTCCCTCAGCCGTGTGATAGAGTAACTCTTTCCTGTCTTTGTAGAACTGGCTCAGGATCTTGTAGCTGTCTTCCTCAAGTTCCCCTTTCTCCTTGGACCCCATTCGGATCAATTTGGAGAGATTGCTTGTCATCTTGTCATTCTTCTGGGCTCTTATCAGGTCCGATAGCCTATATCTCGCCTTGACATGTTCCTTCAGCGCCATGATCTGCCCATTCATCTCCCCAGGGTTGTGGACGTCGTCATTCAGCTTCACGCATACTATCCTCTTTACTATCTTCATGTCATCTTCTGGCACCAGATTTGTTCTCACATTTGAGTTGCATGATAGTTCCCTGAATGGTTTCCTCGAAACTGCAATTCTTTCAAGTTCCTCACCTCCTCGTACTTCCTGCACGTCCAAGTTGAAGGTTCCTGAGGACGGATCTGTTTGTAATTCCCTGTCGCGGTGTCTAATCTTTTCTTCTGCCAATATCATGCAGAGACTATCTTGATTGTCACTGCTCGCTTCCGAGTCCTCATCCCACATTTCAAACTCCCCGGACAAATTTTCTCCTTCAGTGTTTCCTTCCTCCGTGGACGTGGACCGCTCCCCGGACTCTTGACCTAGTCCCAGGTATTCAGCTTCTTCCTTGAACTCCACTCTCTTTTTCCTAGCCCTAGTCCGTTCAATTAAGTCGGCTGGGATTTTTTCAACCAGTGACTGCACCACTTCCTTCTCATCAGGGTTAGTCACCTTCGAGGTATTTCCATCACTAGCTATCCCACTCTTTCGCAGTATTGTGACCTCAGGTTCCTCCTTACAATTTTCTTGGATCACGGGCTTGTCATCTGCTAGTTTCTCGAGTAACCTCTTTAAGTCATCGTCTATTTGTGCCTCCCCCATCTCTACCTGGTTAAGATCGTAGCCTTTTGCTTTGAGCGTCTCCCTTACGATCTTTGACTTGAGCATTATTCCTATCGGCATCCCTCGGTTCTTTTTCAAGATTGTTTCTTTCGTAGGATCTTTTGGTAATTCGGGGTGATCTTCTATTGGTTTGCCTGATTTGTCCAACCATCTCGTGAGAGGAAGACTGTCATACGTTTCCTTGTCCATGAAGGAGAAGCCATCCTTGATCTCAGGTCTATCTGCCTCCCTCTGTTCTTGTCTCTCGTAGAACTCCGTCTTCTTGCTCAAGCTCTCAGCATTTTGATGTTTGTCTCGTGTTCTATGCTCAATTATCATATCGTATCCGTCCAGGCGAAATATCCACCTCCCAATGTAATTTTGGTCCATTGAGTACGTCTTCAGCCAGCTTAGTGCCCTGTTGTCAACTCGCAGCTTGAATGGCTCGCTGCCTAGGTATGCCCTATATTTCTCGACAAAGGCAACCACCGCGAACATCTCTGCTTTCGGTGCTCCGTACTTCATTTCCGTGTCACTTAGGACTTTGCTCCCGTACGCTATTGGTCTCAAGACTGTCTTCCCGTTCCACTCTTGTTCCTGGTGGAGTATTCCCGATATCGCTACTACCGACGCCTCCGTATCCAGCACGTACATCCCTTTCTCTGTTGGCATCCCTAGTACTGGTGCCTCGCACAACTCTTTCTTTATTCTCTGGAATGACTCTTCCGCTGCGTTGTTCCACGTGAACTTCTTGCCCTTGTGTCTCATTAACTGTTGCATCGGATAAACCTTGTCTGCATAGCCTTTAACGAATTCTCTGTAGTAATTTGCAAAACCCAGGAA